AAATCTGCAATATATCGAATTCTATAGACCCCTGACATAGTTTTGATTACTTAGTTGATTTAACACCCCAGTACGTACGTACACATATACAAAAAAAAGTGACCAAAAAAGGTTATACAGTCGGAAATATATGTACACTAATAAAAAATGTGCGATTGCAGAAAAAGCATAAATAATAATCTTAAAACAGAATAATATATGGTTATACCAAGAACGGTGTTTCACGAAAGTGAAACGAAAAATATACGTATGCACGTAACATACGTGGCAATTGCACATAAAGGCATATAACGAAATGTAATATTGTCTTCAATAAATTTGATACCTCCGTGCATAATATGTAATACATTCTTTATTGCGTCAAAATGACAAGTTATAATAAACTATTCGTAAAGAAACCAGAGAAAATCGACAGTTCATCAGATATTATTCAAATAGCTAACAATGTTTCTCAATTGAATTTAAAAGTTAATCAATTACAGAATTTTTCACAAGATTTTCTTAACGAAATTGTTAAAGAAACGTGTGATTTGTATAATGAAGAAAGATTGAAAGGCAAAGATTCCTGTTCAATTCTAGATACATTAGAACAATTTCTGGTAGCGAAAAAGCAAGATCCATATGATATTATCAATTTTTGTTTAAATGATCAAATGAATCCTATGGCCCAAATTGTCCTTGCAAGTTGTTATCGTTACGGTAAATGGATAGAAAAGAATGAACATAAGGCGTTTAGTTGCTATCAAAAATCTGCAGAGATGGGTGACGCTAATGGAACATTTAATGTTGGAGATTGTTACGAAAACGGAATTGGTGTTGAAAAGGATAAGCATACGGCATTCATTTATTATCAAAAATCTGCAGATATGGAAGACGCTATTGGAACATTAAATGTTGGATATTGTTATCGATATGGGATTGGAGTTGAAAAGGATGAGCATATGGCGTTCATTTATTTTCAAAAATCTGCAGAGATGGGTAATGCTAAAGGATCATTTAACGTTGGGATTTGTTATCGGAATGGAATTGGTGTTGAAAATAATGAACATAAAGCATTCATTCATTATCAAAAGTCTGCAGAGATGGGGCTCGTTAATGGAATATTCCAAGTTGGATATTGTTATCAACATGGAATTGGAGTTGAAAAGAATGAATATAAGGCATTTGTTTATTATCAAAAGTCAGCAGAAATGGGATATCCTAGTGGAATATTTACACTTGGTAACTGTTATAAAGATGGAATTGGAGTTAAGAAGGATGAATATAATGCATTCATTTATTATCAGAAATCTGCAGAGTTGGGGGACGCCAGTGGAATAAATAATGTTGGTAACTGTTATAAATATGGAATTGGAGTTGAAAAGGATGAACATATGGCATTCATTTATTATCAAAAATCTGCTGAGATGGGGGATGCTGATGGAACATTTAACGTTGGATATTGTTATCAATATGGGATTGGAGTTGAAAAGGATGAACGTAAGGCATTCATTTATTATCAAAAATCTGCTGAGATGGGGGATGCTAGCGGAGCATTTAATGTTGGAGTTTGTTATTGCAATAAAATTGGAGTCGAAAAGGATGAACATAAGGCATTCATTTATTATCAAAAATCTGCTGAGATGGGTAACCCTGATGGAACATTTAACGTTGGATATTGTTATCATAATGGAATTGGTGTTAAAAAAGACGAGTATAAGGCGTTCATTTATTATCAAAAATCAGCGGAGATGGGTTACGATAAAGGAACCCTTAGTGTTGGACATTGTTATCTTGATGGAATTGGAGTTGAAAAGGATGAATGCAAAGGATTTATGTATTATCAAAAATTTGCAGATATGGGTAACGCTATAGGAACATATAATGTTGGATATTGTTACCATTATGGAATTGGAGTTGAAAAGGATGATCGTAAGGCATTCATTTATTATCAAAAATCTGCAGAGATGGGTTACGATCAAGGAATATTTAATGTTGGAAATTTTTATCATTATGGATTGGGAGTTGAAAAGGATGAACAAAAAGCATTCATTTATTATCAAAAATCCGCAGAGATTGGCAATATTCAAGGAATAAACAATGTTGGTTATTGTTATCGGAATGGAATTGGAATAATAAGAGATTTACATCAGGCCAAATACTGGTATCAAAGGTAAATTTGTTTAAATTTTGTCGTGACGATCAAATCATAAGATCAGATGCAATTGAAATCAAAAAAAAAAAAAAAAATTTAATTAGAGTTCAAATTAGTATAGGGTTAGGAAAACGATATTTCGCATAAAAATTTTGGTTCATAAGCAATTACGCCTGATCTTGTTATTCGATCGATAAATCTAGGACCATGCTAGTGTCAGGACATTAAATTATATTATATACATCAGATGTATATTTTATTTAATAGTTTTATATATTTAAATTTCGGGCAGGGGAAAGGATTTAATATCAGGTATTATTATAAACTATTTATCATCGGGATTATTTTAAAATAAACTAAATTTTATAAATAATTAGCAGCTCCAATTGAATGGATAGTTAACCCTGAAATTGATGATGATTTGAAAAAAGCATTGATGGAAAATAAGTATCAGTTATTATGGATTTCTTCCAATGAATTTAAAGGCATTAAAGAAATAGGTAGAGGTGGATTTGCAACCGTATATCGTGCTTCATGGTTTAACAAAGATCAAAATCTAAACAGAGTTGTTGCGCTTAAATTATTCCATGGATCGAACAATTATCAAAAGACTTTATAGAGGAGGTAATTTTGATTTAATATTTTTATCAATTACAGTAAATTATTCGCTTTTATTATCTATATTAATAAATTTTTTTTAATAATAAGTTAAAAGCATATTGTGATATTGGTCTTAAAGATCCAACTTTTATAAAATGTTTTGGTATATCAAAGGATATAGAATCTAAAGATTATATTCTTGTCATGGAATATGCTCCAAGAGGCAGTTTACGCGAAAATCTGAAAACTATAGTGCAGATGGATTGGAAAGATAAATTAAACCTGCTACAATGTATTGCTTCAGATCTTCAGATAATTCATTCTCACAACCTTATTCATAGAGACTTACATAGTGGAAATATACTTCTAAACTCCTTAAAAAGTGCATACATTGCGGATTTGGGCCTTTCAACATTAGCTAATATAGGATCAAATGACAAAGTTTATGGTATAATGCCATATATCGCACCTGAAGTATTATACAGTAGGGAATATAGTCAAGCATCTGATGTTTATTCTTTTGGTATCGTGGCATATGAAATATTATCAGGTCTTCCTCTATATCCTAAGATTCCACATGACATTCATCTTTCACTTATGATTTATAATGGTTTACGCCCAAATATGCCAACACACATGCCAAAATTATTTGCTGAATTAATTATTAAATGTTGGGATGCTCATCCATACAAAAGACCAATTTCTGGAGAGATACAAAAAATTCTAAACACTTGGAATAATGAGATGTTAAACAATGAACTAACTGAATTTGTTGCACAAATAAAGAAGGCAGATGAAATACTTTCTTCATGCATATTAGCACAATCTCACATCACGACAGATACTGAAGCAACTTATACTAATAATACTGTCGATATTCTATCGCGTAGGTTTTCAATATTCATTACTTTTACAATATACAGTCAAACCTCACCTTTGTCAAGAAATGTTTTGGACAAATAAATTAGGTAGAGATATAAATAAGTAAAATCTAATAATACAAACATAGGAGAATATTCTACTAAATAAATAAGATCGGATATAACTTATTGGAGGTATATTTGAGGTTTGGCTGTATTAATATTAAATTGATTTTTATTAATATGAGAAAACTTATACTAATTATAATTCTATTGATCAAAAGATTGTCAATATAGACAAAGTAATAGTAATAGCTTGCTAATTTTAAAACATGTTGAAAATAAATAAAATGTAAGATGTTTGTTAATTATTAAGTTTTAAAAATTCTTTGATTAGTAATATTTTAAAAGTTTATTTTATAAATAATTCATATTTTAAATTGGTTTTTAAGTATTTTAATAATTATTCTTACAATTTTTTTATACTTTTAGGCTATAAAAATATTTTAATATTAAATATAAACAAATTTGTCAGGTTAATTTATGCATGGTTGGCTAATCAGATCTTATAAAGAAAAATTTGTATACAAGATTTATTAATTTTTTGATTTGTATATAAACTAGTGCACAAAATTTAGTATACAATAATCTGCATTTTTGGTAAATGGGATTTAGAGAATTTTGTAAAAATAAATCAGTATACTGTTTTTTCTTTATTATGTCATATTTATTTAAATCAAATTAATATTATTAAATTGTAATTACTTATTTAATTTTACTTTTTAATATTTAAATCTAATTTTTACTATAATAAAATTTATTATTTATTTTTTTAGAATTATAACTTAACATTTAATAATCAATACTAATAATTAAATAAAACTATTTAATATAGTATATTAATATACAATAAGCAACTTTAAATAAAATATTTAACAACTTTAAATAAAATACTTTAACAACATTTAGCCAATTTTAATAAAATTTTTTTATTTAAATTTTATTTTTATTTAAAATTTTAAAAAATTTTATTAAAATTAATTATATAATTTTAAAATATTTTTGCTTATTAAAAAAATAAAATGTTGGCCATAAATTATACCAAATAGCTTTAAACCTTCAAGCTAAATATTAAAATAATTATTTTATTAAATTTGATAAATTTTTATTTTAATTATATAAACTATAAAAATGAATTTTTAAAAATAATTTATTTTATTTTTTATTAAAGCAAGTTAAAATTTTTAAAACTATAAAATACAGTCTGATCTCAATATAATTACTAGGTTGGAAAACAAAATTTTGGTGATTATAAAAGGTTGTGACTATATCAAGAGTGATTATAATAAGACTGTAAATTTTATATTTATATATCTTTTTTAAAAAATTTATTAAAAATTTTATTCTTAATTTGTGATCTGTGCGGGTACTAGTGAAAAGCATAGTAAATTGTGGAATATATTTGTAATAATAATATCCTGATCTGTTGGGAATTAGCAGAAACGGAGTTTCCGCTTATTCACATACAGTCAGGGTATTATTAATTGTCGCGGCTGATGCTGGAAACGGCTGAAGCTGGTAATCAGGGTCCCTGATTTAAAAATATAAACCCTGCCAAAATC